CGACGCCATGTATCAAACAGGCGATGAAAGATACCCACTTGCGACCAATACTGAAAACAGAATAATGAAAAAGTGTATTCCTATTATGGAGTCTAAATATACCACCAAACTTAGTGAACTATTTTAAATAAGTTCTGTGAAAACAATAAAGTGAATTATCCTCCATTAAAATATGTTTGATACCAATAAGGAAATAAACAAACCGGTAGAAAAGAAAGTTTAGCACAATTTTGAAACTAGTTCCTTTATAAAAGAAGTAAACCACCTTAGTTTTCAATATTTGATAACAGCTACCAGTAATGTTAACACAGTTTCTTCCGCGGACTTAAGTTACTGTATATGTCACTGGCATCCACAAGAGTGGTTAGATCTTTGCTAATATTTTACCGCTTTTTGTAGTCAACCAAGATTGGAATATTACTAACTGACATAAAATTTGATTTATGCTTGTTAAATGTTTTGTAAAATACGTGGGGGATGGACATCATTCTTTTTATTATGTGCATTAAAAGAACTTATCATTATTTTTTTCGGCTGGCAAACTTTTCAACAATAAAATTTCAAGATCGAAATTTAGGCTTGAATATAAATTGATAAAAAATTAAAGGAATACCCATTTTAATTATTTTGATTTTTCGTCTGCGACAACTTTTTTTATGAAACACATATGAGCGGTTGATAAATCCCTAATGCCTAAAATACCACTTAAAAGAGATACCTGTAATATCCCGTTGATTGAGAAACAAGAGCCCGATATCTTATGTGAGCAGAATATGTTTATATGATAATTTTTCGTCTCCAAGAGGCCATTCATAACAGTATATCTGAAGATCTACTGATTTAATTGCCAGCTCCCTGCAATGAGGCCCTCAAGTTTATTTGAACAATGTCCTGCGAGTATTAAGGCAAATATAAACTGACTGATCTAAAAGATCCAAAATAATGTAGCTGATTTCATTGAATATTGACAACCTATATACTAAAAGAAATCACTAAACGGCATGCGTACTAGTCTGCTGCTAAACCACCGACAGTGGCCCCCAAGGCCACTCCTGCTAGATAGACCACGTTGACCATATTTATTAGCAAGGAACTGTCACAAAATAGACCAAACTGAAATTAAAAACAGAGATTCATCTCAATTCAATTCAATCAATTTCTGGTGCATGTATATTTTATGGTCTTGTACATCGTATATACACCAATACAGGTATATAGTTTTTTAAATGGTACAAAATGCAGGTACCGGCATTTAATTTCATTTTGAAATAAATCTGTTTTCATGGTTTAGATGGATGTTTACCTTTTCAATGGCTGAAAAACTATTATGATTTCTCACTGTATCAACACATGTTGTTTTTCTTTTACATCTTGGGTTAAGCTTGTTGTACGCAGATTCCCATCTAAACTATTTGAACTTGGTTTTGGCACTGTCATGCATAATAAACACGTGACAAATTATTTTAGAGATTCGTGACAAATTATTTTAGTGATTCGCCAGTGTCATACAGTGTTGCACAAAAATCACAGTTTAACAAGGTGTATAACAGCAATAAAGCAATGAACTACTCACTTCTGTAGGAAACGTTCTCGGGAATACAGATGTATCATAAACCCAGACCTTGCACGGCAACACACTACCATTTCCGGAATCATTTCCACTACGCCACAGACATCCCTCATACTCCCCATTCTCGTCTACAGGAATGGTTTGGTTGATAAGATATTGGTGCCAGGTACCCTGGATTTCAAAGGTGTCATTTGCCAAGTCTGGAATGGTACACCTACAAACATGAATTGGTAATCGACCTACAATATAAGTTTTATAGAATGTTTACCCTAGAGGTTATCAACTTTTTATAAAGTTTGTTGAGATATTACAAATCCCATTTGAAGTCTTGAATTAAATAAATGGGTATGATTGCACTGTTAGGTTGAAAAAATGAACTATTACGATATATTTTAACAATGGCTTTCGAGCCAATTTGAAATGGCGTTTCTAGTCAAGATGGAGCTCTCCCCATTTGCTTCTATGTTGGCATTTTATGTGGGCCCGATTTTTAAAACATAAACATGAGACATCTTTGGGATGATTTGACATACGTGTAAATTTTGACTTCTAAAACCTATTTTTCGCTATTTTTAACCTGTCTAAAGCTACAAAAACTTCACTCTAGGTAACCTATGAACTGCAACGAATAAACCATATCTCGATGATCAATTTTGCGTAAACAAATTTTGCAGATAGCATTGTGAATCGCACAGCTGAAGAAATTTTACCCAAAGTGGGATAGTTCACATCATCAATACCCACTGTTATTACCCTAATTTTCATAGCCATTAATTTGGTCGAAAACGTTAATAGATCAAAGCAACTATGCACAAGGAAAAAAACATACATTAACGCCGATTTTAAGATAGATATATTCATGATTGTTGGACAAGAGACCAAGCGACTTATTCTTTGAGAATATGAAAATGCTCAACTAAAACCAATGTCATTTGACATTTATTTTACCTACGCGCCGGTAATTGCTGCATAAAGACGGTTACCATCATTTGCATGGCTGTCGACATTGTCACTAGACCACTAAATATTGCCGTTCGAAGCTGAATCCTCCCAAACTCTCCAACGCGTCGGATCACATCATCGAATTCCATCACTAGCAGTCTGCCTGGTGTTTAATCCGTGTATATCGACGTTACAGCTGCGACGAAGTGCTTGACACTAGTTGTTGCACTTCCGATGTCATTTACCCATATCAGATAAAATGACCAAGAGTCGAAATAGGTCATAGATAGGTGTCTGTTTATTTCCTGTGCAAATTTATTAAATAATATAGCTAAATTACGATGTACATAAAGGGACATACCTGCATTGTTTTAACATGTTAAGCTCACTAGCCGAAATACGCACAAAAAGTTCAAATTCTGTATTTTGAAGTGTACTAAGACCATTAATTAACAGCTAAACATGCAATAAATGTTTGTTATAGAAACAAAAAAAATGTCATTAAGTTTTTCACTGTGTGTATTAAATGTCAGTTTGCCACCCACTCTTATCTCGTTAGAAGTAACCGTCTAGGACTAGGCCTCTGTTTACCTGTATGCTAATGTGAGTATGTGTGTTTTGACACCGACATCGATGGAAAGCATAATACCACTCAGGATTCACGTTGAAGTGGACAACATGAAAAGGTGACTGAATTTAAATAAAAAACAAAATCAGTGTTCCTTTTGACTCTGGGTCGCTCAAAATAACTGGAAATAATTGGCCTAGCTGTTGCGAGTTATCAGTTTCATATTAATGCATATAGTAAAAAGGGTAAAAAAAATCAAGTTGGTCGAGGTAAAAAAAATACTTAATAAACTTATGGCGAGACAAATAAAATAAAATAATCAATACACATGCAGTTGCAGTTTTAACTTAACAATTTAAATTTACAATTTAAAAATTGTATAACGCAAAAAAAAAAAAAAAGCTATAGTTGTAACAGAAGAGCTGCGGCGAAATAATTCTCTCTATTGCGCTACCTTTTGTGAACGACAGTAGGTCAATTAATGAAATAATTGAAATCTAGCCTCTTCTTCTTGTGTTCTGGGTTGCATAGTTCTGTATATATAATTATAAGAGGACGAGGCATTTATTATTTCCTCCAGTAATGGCCGCATTGAAGCGTATGCCTATTGTAAAGAAATTCGTAATATACCAAAGAAACGCTTGTATAAATATAAATGAATTAATCATTATCGAAAATCCGTGAAATTGCACGGGTCAGTTTGTTGCCATTCTTTCCTTCCGTATTTCTTTAAAATAATAATATAAAACATAGCAGGCCTCATTAGATAAAATACTGATCCAAAGGTACAAAATTGCTAAAAAACCAGCACACTTCATAATGTGGTTGTCGGACTTAAGAAACCATTTCCAATGTCGATGGGACATTCTCACTTGGGTTGTTGTTGATGCCCCTCTTCCTCCTAAATAAACATATCCGTTTTTAACATCAATGTTAAGTTATTCTGCTATTACAATCTACTTACAAGACTGTATTAGAAGTAGCTATAGCACCTGAAATATTGAGCAAAATTATTTTCTTTTATGTAGGGACAAAATGTAATAGTATTGTTTTGAAGTCTCCATAAAGTGACTGTGTAGTCGAACGCATGCGCGCGTGTATTAGTGTTTGTGTGTGTGAGAGAAGAGGGAGAGAGAGAGAAAGAGAGATAAAACAAGAGAGAGGGCGAGCCAAACAATGGGGCGTGAATGAGAGAGTTATAACTTATATATAGATACAAACCGTTTAACTCCAAAGTTCTCGGCATTCTCCAAAGTCTCCGGCAGGTGTTTATGGGCTGTTTCGGGAAGATACAGACCGCTCAATGAGGAAACCATGTAATGTCATACAGCCAAACAGCATCATTGGAATAGTGTTACCCAGGTAAGGGTGTTCTCTTAGCTGGTCCTACCAAGAGTTCAAGGTTTCAATTAACGCTAGATTTCTACGATCTCCCTTTTCATTATTAACACTCTTTCGATGTAGAGAACCTCGTTCACAGTGGGGTTATATAATGAAGGCGGCCTTGTTTGTTTGTTTTTAAAAATCTCAAACAATCTATATTGCCTGTTGCAATTTGTCTTTGTTGTGAATTGGGCTATAAAAGTTGGCGGTACACTTGGATGGAGGAGGCATAAAAGTGGGTTTAATGTGGTGTCTTATGTGATCAAGAGGCCTGGACTCAACCTCTCGTTCCTGTGTTTTGGTTTTGATAGATCTGTATTAAGTGATAAAAGCAGCCGAGGGTTTGATTATCTTATCCAATAATGGGCGTATTAAAGCATATGTCAGGCCGTAAAGAAATTTGTACTGTGCCAAGAAAACGCTTGTTTGTGCCAAGTAACGCTTGCTTTGAAAAGTGAGTTAATAATTATTGAATATCCGTAAAATGCAAGTTTGCAATTATTGACATTCTTCGTTTTTCTTTTTATTAAGTGCAATTTTAACGTGCTTCCATTCATCAGTGTGACATTTATAAAATATCATAATACATAAGCCAACAATGTGCCAGGATCAGCTGACACAAAGATACCAAACTGCTACAAAAATCAGTCCACATCCATGAAATTATAGTCGTTGCACTTAAGAAACCATTTCAAATGTCGATGGGGCATTCTCATTTGAGTCTTGGTTGATGCCACTTTTTCTCCTGAAATATATTTATCCGTTTTTAACAACAATGGTACATTTTTGTTATAAAGTATTCTGCTATTACAATTGACTCATCAGATTGTGTGAGAAGTACCTAACATTTGAAATATTGTACAATTCATCTCTGTTATATGTAGGAACAAAGTTGCGAATTGACACCACAAGCGAAGTAAGTATGTATGTATGTATGTGCGAACGTGCGTTTATGTGTGTGTGTGTGTGTTTGTGTGTCTGTGTGTGTGTGTGTGTGAGAGAGAGAGAGAGAGGGGGGGAGAGATGAAGAGAGAGAGCGACAGTTGAAGAGACAGCTGACATGTTTTAAATGAGGGAAAGAGATAGTATATAACCAACCGTTTTACTCCAAAGTTTTGAGCATCTTCCAAGGTCTCTGGCAGGTGTTTGTGGGCGGTTTCAGGGAGATATATACCACTCAAAGCACAGAACAATGCCATGCAGCCAAACAATATCAGAGGAACAGTGTTACCAAGAACTGGATGTTCTCCTAATAGGTCCTATTAAAATGAGAAGGCTTGCTTTGAACGCTCAAGCATGAAATTGTCTTTTTGCGTATAAAAAGTATTCCTAAGATTACATTATGCATTATTATATGTGAATCAAATGAAACTATAAGCTTATGAGCTAGTAGAAAAAATGAAAGATTGGTTTGCATTGAAGTTGAAATTTATAAATTGGTTGTCAAATTATATATAGCCTCAAATTATTAACTCGATATAAATCTATAAAACGTGAAGAAGAACTTGTTGTGCACGACATATCAGGGTAGCGTACCATAACAACTGGTGATACAATTGCCGCAACACGGCCAAATGTACACCCTAAACCTAATCCAAAATTCCGTAAGGCTGTTGGATAGAACTCCCCATTCCACATGAAAAGAAGGGAGAAGTTACCGCTGACGCCCAGTTTCCCTATAGTGTACAGAGCTGTAAAGGCGGTTCTGGTAGAAGGACTCTCTGAAATATTGAAGGAAAGAGCGCAATAACATTAATGAAGGTCACTATTTTCTTTCATCTAGGTAGGTCCTACACGAACGACCCCTAGTCTGCTTTACATTACTATTCATCTAAACCGATGGAAATACAGAATTTAAAAAAAGGCATCTAAAAACATGTGGTATGAGGAATCATTTTAGGCCGAAGCCTTTGATTTAACACAAATTCCAAATCCCAAATACTACTATTACCTATTATGTTTCAGATTACGTGCAGAGTCAGTTTTAAATAATACCTCTGTCTGCAAAGAAATGAACAGGTATTGTAGTCAACATGGACAAAGCAGAGATCATCATGCCAGCACAGTATGTTTTTCTTCTTCCAAATTTGTTGATGATGAACATCGACGCGTAGGCTATGAGGTCGATTACAGACAGGACAAGAGCATTGATGAAGATATCTCCATCTAGGGAACCCTGATTTAGTGTAAGACCATACCACGAAATTGCGACTGTAATCCTAAAATATAACAATGCGTTAGCATCATAACTCACAAGTATTTATTCTCCGAAATATGTCTTAAATTAACTTAGGAGAGTGAAATGTCACTGTATATGTGGAACATGTAGGTGTGACCGATCCAAAATCTTTCAGATTCACACCGAATGACTGATTTCGCTTCACTGACAATATATACAGTTTAAACCATCAGTAACGTACCATTTTTTCTATTCAAAAGGCGTAAAATGGTCTCATACCAGCCGAAAATCATCACTGCTGTCCTCGCCATAAGTCTTGGTGCGTGAAAAATTTTAAGAGGACTTAAAGAGGGGGTTATTTGCAAAGAATGTTCATTGAATAGCTGGTCGACTTCTGGAATCGCCTTTTTATTTACTCTTGCCGCCCATTTCACTATGTCCTCAGCTTCTGCGTATCTACCCCTAGATAACAGCCAACGAGGTGACTCCGGGATTACCCTGGAAGTCAGAATACTTCCTAAAATTTCTAAAACATAAATATACATTATTCAATGCATGCATGGTTGCCTGTACACATGCTTGCGTTCCAATAAATTTTACATGAAAATACTAATACACGCTCGTTTGTTTTGCTAGCATAAAAAATCACAGTACGTTAAGCAAGACAGAAACAGAAGCTACCACCAGAAGCCTAGGTATAAGAATGGTGGTAAGGCCACAGCCAACTGTAGATATTTCCAGTCTCGTATAAGGTAAGCCACAGGAGTTGTAAGCACCATGCCTATACCCCAGGACATAGCTAATGTGCACACGGATACCAAGCGTCTTCTTGGTGATACAAATTCCATGCCTGCAAATGTGACATGTTATTGTATCATTGGCATTTCGATTAAAATAGCAGAATTGGGAATATCCTAATAGTGAATCTTTAAAAAGTTTCCATACGACAAGGGGATAAAGGTTATGGCCTATAACACAGCCGTGTACGCTACCTACCTATCCACTTGTGAAATAGTACACTTAATTCAACGTGAAAGAGATTTTTCACAGGTTTATTTTTAAGTGAAAAAAGTATCTGTACACGTCATTAAACAATATATATATATATATATATATATATATATATATATGGGTGTGTGTGCGTGTGTGTTGTCTCGTGCCCACTTACTCAGAACCACAACCGAGTTGTTAAGAATGCCGTGACAGCTGCCCACGAAGAAACGGAATGCAACATAAGCTCCGTAGTTAGGTGAGAAAGCGGCTCCCAATCCTCCGACGCCATGTATCAAACAGGCGATGAAAGATACCCACTTGCGGCCAATACTGTAAACAGAAAAAAAGTAAAAAAGTGTATCCCTATTATGGAGTCTAAATATACCACTAAACCTAGTCAACTATTTAAATAAATTCCGTGAAAACAATAAAGTGAAGTATTCATCTTTTTAAATATAATTTATACCGATAGGGAAATAAACAAGCCGGTAGAAAAGAAAGTTTAGCATAATTTTGAAAATATCTGTTTTGAAACTAGTTCTTTTATAAAAGAAGTAAACAACCTTAGTTTTCAATATTTGGTAACAGCTACCAGTACTGTTAACACAGTTTCTTCCGTGGGCTACCGTTACTGTATATGTCAGTGGCATGCACAAGAGTGGTTAGATCTTTGGGAATATTTTACCGGCTTTTTGTAGTCAACCAAAAATGGAATATTACTAACTGACATGAAGTATTTGATTAATGCTTGTTAAATGTTTCGTAAAATTTAATGCCTGGGGGATGGACATCATTCTTTTTAGTATGTTCATTAAAACAACTTATCATTTTTTTAGGTTGGCAAACTTTTCAACATAAAAATTTCAACAACAAAATTTATGCGTGAATTTAAATTAATTTAAAAATTCAAGGAAGTGCCCCTTTCAATTATTTTGATTTTTCATCTGTGACAACTATTTTATGACACACATTTGAGCGGTTGATAAATTCCTAATGCCTAAAATACCACTAAAAAAGAGATAATATCCCGTTGGTTGAGAAAAAAGAACCCAGTATCTTATGTGAGCAGAAAATGTTGGTATGATAATTATTCGTCTCCGAGAGCCCATTCAGAACAATATATCCGCAGATCTACTGTTCCACGGATCAAATATGGCGGACCCTACGGGAAAGAAGAGGCAATTAATCCACTATCGGCATCCCTGCCTCCATACGCGCCATTAAACGGATTAAATCACGGCTCCGAGATTTAATTGCCAGCTCCCTGCAATGCGGCACCAAGTTTATTTGAACAATGCCCTACGATTATTAAGGCAAATACAAATTGACTGATCTAAAAGGTCCAAAAATAGTGTAGCTGATTTCATTGAATATTGACACCCTATGTACTAAAAGAAATCACTAAACGACATGCTTACTAGTCTGCTGCTAAACCACCGACAATGGCCCCCACGGCCACTCCTGCTAGATAGACCACGTTTACCATATTTATTAGCAAGGAACTGTCACAAAATAGTCCAAACTGAAATTACAAACAGAGATTATCCATTCATCTCAATTCAATTCAATCAATTTCTGGATCAATTTCAATCAATATGTTATGACCTTGTACACCGCATATACACTTATACAGGTATTAAGTTTTTTAATTGGTACCCAATGCAAGTACCGGTATTTAATTTTATTTTGAAATAAATCTCCCGCCCTGTTTTCATGGTTTATATGGATATTTACCTTTTCAAGGGCTGTTAAACTATTATGATTTCTCATTGTATCAACACAGGTTGTTTTTCTTTCACATCTGGGATTAAGCATGTTGTACGTAGATTCCCATTTCAACTTTTTGAACTTGGTTTTGGCATTGTTATGCATAATAAACCCGTGCCAAATTATTTTATAGATTCTGTGTCATACAGTGTACAACAAAATCACAGCTTAGCACGGTATATTACAACAATAAACCAATGAGCTACACACTTCTGTAGGAAACGTTCTCGGGAATACAGATGTATCATAAACCCAGTCCTTGCACGGCAACACACTACCATTCCCGGAATCATTTCCACTACGCCACAGACATCCCTCATACTCCCCATTCTCGTCTACAGGAATGGTTTGGTTGATAAGATGTTGGTGCCATGTACCCTGGATTCCAAAGGTGTCATTTGCCAGGTCTGGAATGGCGCACCTAAAAACATGAATTGTTAATCGGCGTACATTATACGTTTTATAAAATACGTATCCTAGACGTATTCACTTTTTCATATAGTTTGTTGAGATATTACAAATCCCATTATAAGTCTTGAATTAAATATTGGGTATGATTGCACTGTTAAGTTAAAAAATGAATTATTACGATATAGTTTAACATTGAAAAAAAAAAAAAAAAAAAACGAAATAGTTTCGAACCAGTATGAAATGTTTGATTACAACCGTGATGATTCTAGTCAAGACGGAGTCCTCCCCATTTGCTTCTATTTTGGCATCTCATGTGGGCCCGATTTTAACATCAACAAAAACAGCATTCCTGACAGCTTGGGGATTATTTGACATACCTGTAAATTTGGCTTCATTCTGTAACTTATGAGGTCATCTGAAGTTTTATATGTGTTACGATAAGCAACACCATGTCTAAAGCGACATGAAATCTATGAACCTATGAACTACATCAATAAACCCTATCGCGAAGATCAAGTCTGTGTAAACAAAGTTTGCAGATAGCACTGTGAAACGCACAGCTGAAGAAAATTTTCACTGTTCGCCCCATCATCAATACCCACTGCTATTCTTCCAATTTTATGGGCATTAATTTCGTCGAAAACGTTACAGGTAAATAGATCAAAACAACCATGTACAGGGGAAAAACATACATAAACGCCCTTTTTAAAGTAGGCCTAGATATATTCGTAGTTGTTAGACAATAGAGCAAGCCACATCTTTTTTGAGCATATGAAAAGGCTCAGCTAAAACCAATGTCATTTGACAAGTATTTTACCTATACGTCGGTAATTGCTGCATAAAGACTGTTACCATCATTTGCATGGCTGTCGACATTGTCACTAGACCACTAAATATTGTCGTTCGAAGCTGAATCCTGCCAAATTCTCCAACGCGTCGGACCACATCATCAAATTCCATCACTAGCCGTTTGTCTGTGTGTCAACGTTTCAGCTGCGACGAAATACTTGACACTGGTTGTTGTACGTCCGATGTCATTCACGCATATAAGATAAATTGAAGGAAGTTAAATAAGCTCATAGGTTGGTGTCCGTTGTTTATTCCCGATGCAATTTTATTAAATAGTTTAAGAACGGTGTAATAGAGTTCGTACATGAAACTCATACGGAACATATGGTTTTTAATTTTTCAGCTCACTAGGTAAAATACGCAAAAAAAAAAAAAAAAAAAAAAAAAAAAAAAAAAAAAACTCCAAACTCCAAACTTAGTATTTTCAAGTATACAAAGACCAATAATTTATAGCTAGACTTACAATAAAGTGCAAACATTAGAAAACAAACAATTCTGTCGTTCAGTTTTTCACTGTGTGAATTAAGTGTCAGTTTACCACCCGCTCTTATCTCGTTAGGAGTCACCGTTAAGTACTGGGTCTCTGTACAGCTGCATCTTCACTGTTTACCTGTATGCTTATGTCAGCACGTGTGTTTAAACACTAACATCGATGGAAGGCATAAAAAAATACAGCTCAGGACATTTGCGTTGAAGTGGACAACATGAAAAGGTGAATTAATTTGAACAAAAAACCAAATCAATGTTCGTTTGGACTCTGAGTCCCTCCAAATAATTGACAATAACTGGCCTAGTTGTTGCGGGTTATCAGTGCCATATACATGCATATAGTAATATGAAATAAAAGTAAAAAATAATCGAATAATCACATGGCGAGATAAATAGAATAAAATAATCAAAATACATATGATCAAAATACATATCATAAAAGCAGTGGCGTTCAGTTGCAGTTTATTGTATAACGCAACTCGCTTGTGCTACCAACAGTAGGTGAATTAATGAATTAATTGAAATCTAGCCTCTTCTTCTTGTGTTTTGGGTTGAATAGTTCTGTAGAGTATTATAGGCAGCCAATGCATTTAATATTTTATCCAGTAATGGTCGTATTGAAGCGTATGCCTATTTGTAAAGAAATTCGTAATATACCAAGGAAACGCTTGTATAAATATAAATAAGCACTCCGAGAGCGCAGACCTCCGCCAAGACAGCAAAGTCTCCACCCAATGCCGTTTCACCCCTAAATTTTCATTCTATAATGATTTAGTTTTTTGATTATTGATTATTGATTCATTATTGATTGATTATTGATCCGGATCACCACCAAAAAATAATCATCTGTTCCTTGGTCCACTTCTGACAGTTCCTGAAAATCTCATCAAAATCGGTCCATAACTTAGTTTTTTGATTTTTGATTATTGATTATTGATTCATTATTGAT